AGTGATTTGCGTACAAAAGACGTATCCAAACAGTTGCAGTAGGTCCATGAGAAAGTGGTGGACTTCCGTCGTCTTATTTAACGTGAACCGACGAACTGCCGACCCGACTTTAATTCCACTAGTTTTGTCCTTCTCGAGTCTGTCGCGACATCGTTTCTCGACCAAATCCGCGACGTTAATAGTTTCATTGTTGATGGTGATTGTGTTGATTTTGATGTATTGTTTTGTTACTATTGCTTTCTTTGTCGGCCGGGAGATTGTTATGAGTTGACAGTGTTTGTTGAGTAAAGACAAGAAGATCCCTTCTTGGTAGACGATGTAATTGCGCGACTCGAGAGTGGAGTCCGTCACAACCCTCTTCTGTTTGTAAGCCCGTGCACTCATCATTGTACCGAATTTGTAGTGCATTTTATTAACAGACTTTTTATACGAGTAAACTATATTTTTTGGCTTTTGTTCAAGTTTTGTTCTTTTCGGTTCCTTTTTCCTTGTCTTCTGCAGTATTTTTTATTCATTGTTTTGTTGTCTTGTGTGAAAATCATTTAAGGGAGTGTCACTTATATATAGAATGCATCTGTGTATAATCCTCGCTCTTCCTAAACAATAAACATTTCGTTTTACTTGGTGTTCATCGGGTTTGTGACCGAATAGCGCACTTCAGTTGTTTTGGTAAACCAAATCGGGTTTTTTTAAAGTATTTAAAAATTTAGAAATGTCGTCGTTTTTCAAATTGATTTTCTTTTCACTTATCCCACATGATTAGACATTCAAAAGAATTTCTATAAGACAGTTATCTACCTATTGCTTCGATGAAATCCCGATTTTATATATGATAACAAAAAACAAAATTCTATTAATAAATTGATTTCAAATCGGGACTGTTAGGAAGATTGGGATTATTAACGTACTTTCTGGAATCCCTTCACCACGATTTTCTTTGTTTTTCGCAAACGATCGTCTTATTTTCATCACCAAAACAGCAAATTAGAAAACACACTGCAGTCAATTTTTTCCCTTCTTCGGCTTTTTGTAACACAAAATGATTCTTCCACAAATTCAAGCACTTGGCAAAAACGGCCATCAGTTACTTGAATAAATAACTTCCCATCTTTATACTTATCTTTTAATCATTATTTTTCCATTTAAAACAATTTGGAGAAATAGCCAACTTTCAACCAAAACCAATTTTAGTGTGAAGTCTTTCAATAACCCTCTTTTTTGAGTTCCTGATTTTTTCGATTCAGTTGAATAAAGTTACACTATGAATCGTTTTTTTTTCCAATTATGTATCTTTCAAAGACGCACTTTTGGTCTTCTATCTCCATCTACTTATTTTCTTAATGAATCATCTATCGAGTTTTATAAAAATGCCAACTTTTTATAAATAGAATAAAAATTGTTCCGAAAATGTGTTTCGGAATTATTCACAGTCAAATTTGTTATGTTTTCGACGTTTTTTTTAGAACGAAGATTTTTTAAGAGAAGGAATTGGGCACAGATTTGAAATGTGGCTTTTCAAAATGGCAGTGTTACTTGTTTTGTTATTCAGAGACTTTGGCAGTGTCATGTTGAGATCGTCGAAAAGAAGCTACAAAATGCTTTCATTGAACAAATGGCATTTTAGAACAATCCGGTACTTATTAGGGATTGTCCCAAATAATTGGAGCTCTTCTTTTTTCTATCAATCTGCTTTTGTAACTATATTTTAACTATATTTATAATTTGTTTCTTAATACCGAACAAATGGTAAACGGAACTTCTGCACCATTTGAAACTATAATTAATAGGAAATAATATTATTATAAATGGTTAATCGATTTTGATTTGGACCTCTGTTTAAATGGCGTTCAAGTAATAAATAAATCTAACAATACTAGTTTAATTCTAGTAAAATATTATCTCGAAGGCACACTCCTCATTAAGAAAACATTCTGTTATTCTATTACTCCAACCAGACTTTCTGTGGATTTTTCGTTACAAACCCGGGAAAATGTCCTAATCCAGAAAAATGAAGGTTTGGCGAAGACCGAAAGCAAAAAGACGAAAAGTTTTTCGAATGTGTTCGACAATGAATGAAGAGTTGAAGAAAGGAACAGCTTAATTATATCAATTTGACATTTAATGAACAAGTTAACTAAACGTCATAATGCTTGAAATAGAGTTGTTTACTATAATTCAAAGTTGTATGGACGACCGTTCCCTTCCAATTAGTAATCAAAAGCCTTCAATCCTTTTTATTGTGATCCAATTGATCTTTTGATTCGAATCGTTTAGTCCCCTCGACAACAGTGTTTTGCACACTTTTAGAGAGACGCAAAGTACTTCGCAAGCATGTGCTCATTCCAGTCCAACTTCTCTTTGGCGTACGTTTGAAGCTTCTCTTTGGAATATTGAGAAGTGAGAATCAATTGTTCCTCTCGAATGTTTGGGTGGAGATATGCCTTAATAACTTGTTGGTCCGGAAAGGTGTCTTTCAGAGTTATAACATTTTTCAATTGATCAATGTCCTTTTTGTAAAGTCTTGCAATGTCTTTCTCGTTCCTCATTTCCTCCATAACACTCTTCTTGTCTTCACCTTTAGAACTATTCACATCTTTGCTTGGAAAACTCGTGAAAGTATCACTTACGTGCATGACCTTTGCAAACTGCTCCGGCGTATCAAACATTTTTATAATTTGAATAGCCCTTTTCGGTCCAACTTTACCAACTCCTTCAGTAAAATCACTTCCCAAAAGTAATGCCAAAAAGATATATTTTTCTTGTGTTAAATTGGCAGTGTGGATTGTTGCCACTTCCCCATCTATCAAAAAATTCCGAATAACATTTTTGGCCCCAAAAACAAAAACGTCCGAGTCGTTCGAAGCTACATAGTCGCACATCTTCGTTTTGTTATAATACGCACACTGCGCCTCCGCTTCCCATGGGGAAAAAACATGTGGAATCTCAAGGGCAGTTACCATCTCAAAAACTACGTTTTGAACCTCAAGACTCATCATTTGGTCGTTGACAACAACCCCGACTAAATCGTTTTGAGGTTGAACCGTGTTTGTATCCAAATTGCCCATTTCTTTTGATGGAACTATTTCTTTAGTTTCTTTTACTATTGTTAATGATTCTTGTTTGGGGGGAGATATGTTCATCTCATCAGATTTTTTTGTCTCAACATTCACAAAAATATCTTTTTGTGAGTTATTGTGATTGACACCATTGCCGTTTTCTATTTTTTCAATAAGGTTTTTTTCTATAACTTTTATGACTTTTTCCTTTGACGCGACTTGAACTTTTGACACCTTTTTTCCAGTTATAAATGGTCGATCTTGTGGTTGAAACGAAACAAGGAGTTCCTCTTGTGGTTTTTCTTGTGCGTTTTGTTGAACTGGAGTACTTTCAATTGCACTCAATTCATCATATAATGACAATATGGATTGGTCAAAATCAATCTGCTTTGATTGAGTTTGTTCTGTTGGAACGTCAATGAAACTATAAAGATTGACGTCATCTTTTCCTTCGTCCATCTTTATAGTTTCATAATTAACAATTTTATTAGACTCTATCTTAATAGTAGATTGAGTCTGTTCTAGTTGTATCTCTTCACCCTTCTTTTCCAGTTTCATTCTCGCACATCCACTGATTATATCTTCCATCTGTGATGTTAAAGTAGTATAGTCACTTTCCTTTTCAACGACCGATTCCTGACTTACAAACGATTCGATCATTGAGTGATACATTTCTTCATTTACTGAGAACACGTCCCAGTCCTCCATTTTTTTACTCATCGGAACATAATTCTCTATTTGCTCTCTTCTGATGACCCCCTTCTTTCTTTCAAGATCCCCAACTACAATTCTGTTCTCAAGTTGGTGTATCCCAAAAGTTTTCCAGTTGGTGTCCATCGACTTGATTTGGCTGACGTATTTGCCCTCAATCTCCTTCGACTTCTTGACCGTCTCTGTATACATCGCATCATACTTATCTTGCTCACAACTCGTCTTATGAGTGGATACCTTGTTGTCGCTGTCGGTCACATCCTCGTCTTTAAAAGTCGAAATCGCTTTGTCATATGTTTCTGTTAACCGTTGTCGTGTAATGTTCTTTCTTTGCTTCTTTCTCTTAGATAGTGTACTTTCCTTCAAAAAAGTGTTTGTGTTCCCATCAAAAACAAAGACTGGTTTGATCCCAAAATAAAGGCACTTACAATACATGCGTATGATACACTCCCGCGCGACTTTAGTGGAATTTTCATACCTCCGACCACTAACAGACCGAACTATAAAACCGTCAATATCAATAGCTACCGTTTTCCCTTTTAAGTCTTTTGGATTCACTGTCTTTCCTTCTCCAATGACTTCCCACAACTTGTGGACTCCCATTTCTCTTTGAAACTTTGAATCTAATAAGATTTGGTTTTTTAAATTATTAGAATATAAATTAAATATATAATATTATTATAGTATATATCTATTTTTTATTATTTAATAAATCTATTAAATTATTAAATTATTAAATTATTAAATTATTAAATTATTAAATTATTAAATTATTAAATTATTAAATTATTAAATTATTAAATTATTAAATTATTAAATTATAAATAATGATTAATAATATCATAATTATTATTTTTTATTCTTTTTATTATAAATTGTTAAGTGTTATGTATTATAATAAATAATTTATTAATTTTTATCAATATAAATTAAAATAGATTAATTTATATTGATGAAAAAAAACTATTATAATTTCTTATTCAACTAAATAATATTTTTATTATTATTTATAATACATTATTAAATTTTACTTTGAAATATATACATTTAGTATAATGTTATAATAAGTAGTACAGTAATGTATCAATCAGTTATAATTGCTAGAAAGTGCTGCGTGGACACAAATTACGACAGTCGACGCATTAGCCACAGAAGCCATTTGAAACACATTTTCAGCTCCATAAAGAAGGGAAACAACAACTGTTGGGAGTACTGCTCCATATGCTAAACACCATTTTGGATTAGTCCCATACGCATTTCTTAAAGGAGCATTAAACTCGACAAGTCCTATTAGAATGGTTGGAAGTAATGACAATAATACAAGAGCAACACCACCATAATAGACACCAACACTCATTAAAAATATAATTGAAAGACACTCATAAATTTTCTCGTAACGACTAAAATTGCGCTGTGCTTTCTCAAAGGCAGTATCTATCGTCGATGGAATAACATAGACCGATTTTGAAAACTGTTTGAACTCATTTTGAAACTCAGCAAACCACTCCATCTTGAAATGTGTGATTTTCAAGATTAACCTCTTTGTTTTCAAGTTCAGTTTGAGGTATTGTTTTTTTTGTTTTTTTCTAGATGAAAAAAATTTAAAAATAATAAAATTTAAATTATTCAATTATTTTTTTAGTTAACAAAAAAAGACTCTTTTTTTATCGGAAAAAAAATCTGCAAATAAAAATATCAAGTATTTTACTGTTATATTACATTGAATAAAATACCGATATAAATTCTTTAAATTTTATGGTGATAAACTTTATCATAAAGAAAATGAAGACATAAACTACCAAATCAAATATAAACTACACAATATCTATAATTAAACTATTTGAAATTGGAACTAATAGAACTTGAAAAAGTAATGCTTTTTACAATCCTTCTTTTCGCTTTTGGACAAGCTGAACTGATCGACTTGAACATCAAAAAAGTAGACAAAAAGTCATTTGTCCTTAACACACATTACAACGAAATCACAACACAGAGATATAACCTTTTTCTCCATTACTTATACCCCAATGCAAGTTAGTTCAATTATACTTTATTGTATTATAACTATAAATCTACTATATGTTCAACACATTTACAGACAGAAGACAACGAATATAAATTGGAGACGTATCTTGGAGACAAGGTGAACGCTTCCACTACTTTGTCATTCAGCAACTCTGCGACCTTCCGCCCGGAGATATTTTGTATTCGTGAGTCAGTGATGCTCTTGAACGAAGGCAACTTCTATGAAATCGAAGCTTCGACTGGTCAAGTCCAGCGGACGACGCCGAATTTCAGTGATATGGGAAGTCCATTTTTGTTCCAAAAGAAGAACTTTACTGAAGTGAATGACAAAGAGTTTGTCATAGTATGCAAAGATAAGAAATTGAAAGTCGCTGCAGTTGGCGGGTCAGTCTCTGAAATTGACCAAACGAACAAAACGGAGTGTGGCGAGTTTCTTGTTGGAGGTGATGAGTACGCTGCGACCAAAATTGGGAGTAAAGTGTTCTTACTAGTGATCGACAAGGAAGGCCAAAATGGCGTTGTTAAAGAAATTAAATTTGCGACGAACGTCTCGACGTCGGAGACCTTTGCGACAGACAAGATGGCGTCGAATTTGCACAACACATTGTACCTTCAGATTTCTGATCGAAATCAGATCATCGCGATCGACAAAGAGACTAATTACGAGAAGGAGAGTTATTTGAATGTGCCGTTTTATAGTAAAGGGACGTCCAAATTTTATAATGCAAAGCGCGCAGAAAATATAGCGACATATGGCTCGATGGTTATTATTGGGGCATTTACCTATAAAAATAACACGGGGAAAGTCTTTGTATATTTTGATAACATTTTATCCGGCTTTTCTCCACGTTTTGAATTGGTCGACTCAAAAGAGGGGAAAAGTGTCGAGCAATACTTTGGGTATACTGTCACCGTCACACATAAAAGGTTCTATGCTGGAGGGTATGCCTCTTATGATACAACAACTGGCAAAGTCGTTTCATCGGATGTTGTATTTGAGTCAAAGAACATCACAACGGTGTGTATTGATCGAACGTGTGAATGCATTCACGACTCTTATTATGATGAAAAGACTAAGAAGTGCTATAAGAAATTTTTTAAGAGTAAAACGGGGATTATAGTGAGTTGTGTCTTAATTTCACTCTTCTTGATATTAATAGGAGCTATTATTGTAGTATTACTCCTTTGGTACTTCAAGAAACCGACAACGAAAAAGGACGAAAAGACCGAAATCTACACGTTGAATGGACAGGAAATCGCGTTTGTCCCCGTCGACCAATTTCCTTTCCAAATTGATGTCGCTCAGTTGACCTTTGGCTCGGAAAATGGAGTCCTTGAAGTCAGAAAATCGTACGAACAAAAGGTCCAGTTGCGTAATAAAACAAACAAAAAGCTGAAGTATAAAGTAGAAGCACCAGAAACTCATCGAATGAAAATTACGATTAAACATGGTGTCGACGAAGTCGAGAAGTCATATTATGTCTTCTTCTTAGTCGACATTGAAATCCTCTGCACGTGTAAACCAGACGAATTTTTAATGATCACGTCGACTGATTCTAAAGGAACTACTTTACACACAAAATTACAATTCAACTTCTCAACAAATGTTTCACCGTATGTGGATTATACTGAGTTAAAGAATGAAGGGTATTTGAATCAAGGAGCCTTTGGGAGTGTCTACAAATCGACCTATTTGGGTTTGTTCTATTAATAAAACTAGAATGTACTATTAATATAAATCGATATATTAATAATATATAATAATATTACTAATAATATTATTATTATAGTACTCTATGCATCTTGTTGTTATATATGACTAATTACTAACTGAAAGGGTTGACCGTCGCAGTGAAAGAAGTCAAAGAAGCTATGGTAGAGTCTGAGAAAGAGGCGTTTGACCAAGAGGTTGCTATATACTCCTCTATTAGAAATGGATATGTTGTCCAATTCTTAGGGAGTTCTGATGTTCCCCGACACACTCTAATGGTGATGGAATTTGCTCCCTATGGTTCAGTCAATGATATGTACATGAAAGACGAGTTTTCTGAATTATTGGCATATAAGTGTCTGACGAATTGTGCTTCTGGAATGCGATTCTTGCACTCTTCACATATCATGCACAGAGACTTGAAACCACATAACCTTCTTCTCTTCTCAACTTCACCCAAAGTTGCTATCGCAGCAAAGATATCAGACTTTGGAACATCTCGTGATGTCATTTCTATCAAGCAAAGTGCGATGATGACAAATGCGGTCGGAACGCCTGCCTATATGGCACCTGGTTTGTTTAACTATATTACAAACTATAATAATATATATATATTTTATACTATATTATACTATATCTATTAATCTATAGAAATGGTGTCTGGAGGGAATTACAGTTACTCTGTAGATGTCTATTCATTTGCTATTATTATGTTTGAATTGCTGGCTAAACACCCCGCCTATGACAATACAGAATTGTTCCAGTTCTCATGGAACATCTCCCAATTTGTGACATCGGGAAAAAGACTTGGGATACCAACGACATTCAACCATGAACTTGCGGATTTGATTGCAAAATGTTGGGACCAAGACCCTAATAAGCGTCCAACCTTTGAAGTCATCGACGAATTCCTTCTGAAGTTCTTCGATGAGCAACTGCAGAAGCACAAAAGCACCAAATTCGCGAACGAACAACATATCCCAACGGTTGAAGTAACTGATACTAATGAAGATGGTATCATCAAAGATGCCAATCCAACACCAGAGAGTAACAGCAAGGTTGTGTCGCTTTTAGCTCAAGATATGTTCTAATCTAATTTTAGAATTTACTATTTTACTCCTTAACTTATTTACTTTTCTTGAACTATATTTGAATAGTATAATATTCAATTATTATAACTAAATGTCAAATTATTTTTCAACTAAATTTACTATTACTAAATAAAATATAATCGATACTATACATTATTAATTAAATTATTAATTAAATTATTAATAAAAATATACATTTACTTCTTATAGAAAGTGTTCTTCTTTGGATTGGCATGATAATCGATTCGTTGATGGAAGTTGATCATAGTCACATTTCTTCGCAAAGTCACCTCTCTCTTACAGAGTCTATGGGGGTCCAAATAATCGAAGTATTGGCCATCTCTTCTATCCCAATCATTTGACCCTCCTTGTCGATGTTCTTCTGAGACATCTTCGGTGCTTTCATATTTCTCGACTGAATCATCTTCCGCAGTTTGAAATGGTTTCAAAGTTTCCTCTGGAGTGTCTTCCTCTCCAGACGACATGGTCTCACTCTCAATTTCTTCTTCTTCTTTCTTCACAAAGCTTTTATCAAGATGCATTTCCTTTGAAAAGTCGTTAAGGAGGATCTTATGATATTCTGCGTCATTCACTAAACTTGTTTGTCGTGTTGGTTCTTCCGACGACTTGGTCGAGGTGACGGGTGTAGTCACCGAATCGCCACCAAGTCGCGTTTTCTCAATTATATTGACATTCTTTCGTGGCAATTTGATATCAAGAGTTACCCCTTTCCCCTGTTTCATATTCTCTTCGTCAGTCTTTGCTGATGTACTTCTGTTCACATCGAAGCTCTTCGGTGACACCAACGCATCGGAGATGTTCTCGATGTTATTTTTATTCCCAGAATAGACTCTCCGTGTTCGGGTCTGATTCACACACACCTTCTTCTTCATCTTCGGACTTTGACTCATCAATGGCGTCCGCGTCTTAGGACTCTTCCCTTGTGTTTTCACTTCCTTCTTCTTCGCAGAGAGCTCTTGCACCATCGGCGCTAACCACTCGATGATCTTCGAAAAGACCGGCCGCTTCTCTGGCTTTTGGTGCCAACACATCTTGATGATATCTCTGTACACGCATTCTCGGGGTATCCCCACACGCTTCCCACTACATACAAAGTTCAGTACTGAATCGCCGTCTCTAAATTCAATAATAGGATATGGGTCTCGTGTTAACCATATCTCTAACATACATATCGCAAATGAAAACACGTCACTTTTCAAGGTCAACTTCCCTGTTTTGTGGACTTCTAGAGTATTAGTATATTTATAACAATTATAGTAAGAATAGTATAATTATTCATAGTATAAATATAGTATTAGTATAATTATAATATAAGTATTATAAGTATTGTATTTAATCTATTAATTAACTAGAACAAACCAGGAGCCATATACAGCGGAGTACCGATATCTCGAATGGTAATAGTGTTCGACGACTCTATGAAGGCTTGCGACGTTCCAAAATCACTGACCTTACAGACAACAGGGTCATACGGATTTTTCGAATAGACCAACACGTTGTCTGTTTTCAAGTCGTGGTGAACGATATCGTTTTGATGCAAATAGCCCATTCCTAGTGCAATGTCTTGACAAAATCGGACTTTCATGAGTGTACTGATTTTATTCAATTTAATGAATCGTCGCAAACTCCCCAAATTACAGAACTCGGTGACGATGCACAAGGTGTCCGGTGTCACGATTGTCCCGATGAAATTCACAATATTTTGGCACCTCAATCTCTCCATCAATTGAGCTTCTTGTTCGAAATTTGGCATCAAGTCCTTTAAGTCTACCATGTCAGTCTTTAACACTTTCACTGCTATTTCGACCTTTCGCCACTTGGCCCGATACACTATCCCAAACGTCCCTGCTCCGACGGGGGGTTGCTCTAAATGAACTTCCTCATAATCAAGTCGCGTTGACACTTCACTCTCTGCGTTCAGCAAAAGATAGCTGTATATCTGTGTGGCATGCGACACCTTTATTTCATCGTCCGAAGAAGACGAGATCCCCTCATCCTCTGTTGGCTCCGTCTGCCTCACAAATAAGTCCTCGTGATCCATAGACCTCCGCACATTCTTCCAATTGGCCCATTCAAGAGTCACTGGGATCTTCTTGTCTTTAATTATAGTTGTGCATCGAATTAAGACCTTAACCCTAACCGTGATAGTCTGTCCCCCTTTTAAACTCCCCATATATGGATCAAAAACTAATTCATATTTGTACTCCTCCCGACCATGTAAAATAAATGTCATACTCTCTTTCCTACAATTCGTAATACAGATCTTCGAAAACTCAACTTCATCAACTTCGGGACGCTTTGTCGAGTCGTTAAACACTATACTTTTAGGGTTGAATGAAACGTAATTGTGCAACATATCTAAGTTGACATACACCTTTCCTTTCTTCTCAAATGGTACTACTGATCCTACAAAGGACATGTCATTCACTTTAAATAACATCCGCATCACTTTTGTCTTCGAATAGATCACAATAAAGAGAATGGTGTATAACAATACATACACAAAAACAAAAACGGCTAAATATATAAACAATACTGTGTATCGATACTCACACCCTTTCCCACGTTTGACTCGATAATTCGGAAGACATTTACAGTCTTTACACCCTTGACCTCCATCACACTGGATTGTTAATGTACTAATTATAGTATATTTTAATATATTAATTTTAATATATTAATTATATGGATTATATTATTTGAATTATAATATATTAGTTATAAAGTAACAAACCTCCTCACCAATATCAATCCGATCATTCCCACATAACACTTTGTAACACTTAAAGTCAGAACTCGTGTAATCCGGCAAACACTTGCAATCACTCCCACACCCCGTTGTATTTTCACACTCCTCTCCACTGTCGATTTGACCATTTCCACACAACGAACAGTTACCATCTCGATATACATAATTTCCTTCACATACACACTGCCCTTTTGAAGTTGAACACACACCGGGAGAACAATACGCACACGAGATTTGAACAGAAAAAGGCGATGTTGAAAAAACATACAATGTTCCCAAAATCTGCAATACAACTTGAGCGGAAGTAGCACCACTTGCTACATCGACACACTCTTTATTAGCGTTCTGTAACGCGATCAGACTATTTGGCCCACCAGTAGATAACGTGTAAAAATTGGAGTTGTTTGTATTGACTTTATACCACCTTCCTCCAACCAATTCGTTCAAGCAGGCGTTATCTCCGTAATAATTCTCGAATGTTTCAGTCATGCTCCTCGTAGTTTGGTCGGTGGATATTTCGTCAAGTGAACTTTCTTTAATAGTTAAGAGCACGCTATCTGTTCCATACATGAAGAGGACATAGTCCTGCTCCTTCAGTTTCAACGAGAAGGTGGTGTACCCCAAATAGAATGAGTGTAAACACTTTTCACACGATTCTTGGAGCACGATGTGTGTACTTTTAGTTGACGAGAATGTGTAGATCGCATTTTTCGTGTGAATTTTAAAGAAGTATCCTTTTGTGTTTTGCGAGTTCAGTGGCAATTGTGACGCACAGGGGTTATTCACAAAATAAGTCTCTTTGGGGTATGTAAGAGTCAGTAACGAGTGTATCACATAATACGACGGCTTTTCCGTTAAAAAGGTCTGACATGTGAGAGGAGTTTCTATGACTCGCTCACAATAGATCCCTGAAAGATAATACTTGGGTAGACAGGAGGTACACGAAGGATAAAATCCTTTCGTTGAATCACACTCCTCACACTCCCCTGAAACACATTTAACACACGAAGAGGTACATGGATAGGAAGAGCTCAAAATAACAAGAAATTGAAGAATCAATAACAAGTCGGTCTTCACTAACATCAAACCGATGGTTTTACAGTTTGCTATACTAATAGGATAATAGTAGTATAATTAACTATATCAAATGCCATTTGGTTCCACCATTGAATATAGTTTGCTTTGTATTTGTTAATACTATCTTTATGTCCCAGAAATTGTTTTCTAACCTTTTTTGTAATCAAACCTATTTAAATAGTTTATTTAAATTAGTCTTTCTAGTTTCAATCACTATTTTAAACATAAATGAGAAAATTTACACTTTTTAATATATATTTTTCGTTTTTAAAAGCACATTATTTTTTACCAAAACTCTGATACTTTTCTATTGTTATTTTTATCTAATTTTGCTTACATTATCGGGTTTTTCGTGGAAAAATAGTTTTTCTTTTTCCCTTTTTACATTTTGTTTTGGTTATAATTATAACCCCAAATACCCCGTTTGTTACGACATTTTTCACTGATTATTGTACCGGTTTTATATAGCAACATACCCTCAGTTTTTAGAAAAACAAAAGAATAACACAATTTAATAAATATGAATAAATCCCGATATGTTGCATTAAAATTGCCTACCAAAAAAGACGCATCATTATTTCTATTTTTTAAAATTTCCTTGAAAAAAAAACAATCTCCCATTGATTTGAACATAACCATTAAGGTTGACGGAAAAAAAGGTAAAATTTATTTTACCTATTCCGGTATAAAGTATAAAATTTTACCTTTTTACCAAAAAAATACTAAAAAATAAAAATAAAAAGATCGTAAAAATTATTTAAAAAAAAATACAAAAATTAAATAATAATAAAAAAAACAAAAAAATAAATCGGCATTATTAATTAATTAAGACCAAAAAACAAACACGATTAAATCAACGGATAAATGTTTTTAAATGTGTTTAAACAATTAATTGTTATTTTTAAAAAAAATGTATTTCAAATAATAAATTTCAAATATTATAAATATATTAACAAGTTATCTTGAATATTTAAATAGATCGAACTTAAATACAAATATGTGTGAGATCGAAAAAGAACCCAAATTAATGGATTACTTTACAGTGAATCCTACAGACAAAGATGAGTGCCTTTGTAATAATTGAAATTTTGTTTACAAACCAGTAATGAATAAATGGAAAAAGAAAGACAAATATCCGCTTATTCAGCATCTTAAACAACAACACGAAGACATTCATAATTTAATTTACAATAAAAAAGATAAACATTTTGAAAAAACAGAAGGCACAAAACTTGACAAAGTAACAAAAGAAAATTTCGGTAAATGTTTAATAAAAATGATATCAGGAAAAATGTTGCCGTTTTCAATTGTAAAAGATGAATTATTTCAAATATTTTGCAAGACGATTTCAGATGGAAAGTACATTCCACCTGGAGTCGCAAAATTGAAAATAGAAATGAAACAAATACAAGAAGAGATAAAAAAGAAATAATGCAAATATTAAAAACTGAAAGATTGTCATGTATTTCGTTCACTTCTGATGGAAGAACATTTAACTGTCGTAACAAAGGAGAGACGAGTGCTTTTGCGTGTCATTTTTTAAACAAAAGTGGTGATGTATGTGTTATGCTACTTTCTTGCCCAACACTTGAAAGGCCAATAACTTCAAAATCACTTTATGAAACGTTTTGTAAAATGTTATTTGAATATGATATTACATTAAATGAACAAGATGGTGAAGTTATAATAGTAACAGACGAAGGAGCTAATATGATATGTGTTTTTGGAGATAGTTTATCCGAGTTTGCTCCAAATAAACAACATGAATTTCTTCCAATAATAAATTGACTGAATTGCAATGCGCACAATTATCAGACCTGTATGAGAAATGCAATAGAAACTGTCATTGAAATAGAAGATCAATTATCTTTATGTGATCGTATCGTTGCAAGGTTTAACAATAAAAAAGAAGACTTTGAAATATTACAATACGAATGTCTCAAAAAAGAAGAAAAACGTCGTATTCTTCCCAGTATCACTAATTCGACATCAACCACAAGAGAAAGTGAATATGATATTGATAATGATTATAGTAATTTGTTTGTTGGAAGAGTAGAAACCAGATTTAATACTGTTTGTTTAATGATAGAAGGTGTTCTGCAGAAAAGACTCGGATTAGAGGAACTGTTTAAGAAAAACAGACATGTTGATAAACTAAAAATGCCAGATTTTGATTTACTTGAAAGCATTGTTGATGTATTAGAATTAATAAAAAATGAAACAACACTTCTTAGTGGTGAAAATTATTGCACATCTTCTTTTGTAATTCCTTCGGTTTTTTGTATATGTGAAAAACTTCGAGATAAAATGGATAAAGTTTGGATAAAAGTCGCCGTGGAAAATAGAATTGCTAAATGAATGAAAAATTTATAGAAATAACCATTTTTGGAATAAAAACGGAATATTGTGTTTATTTAAAAGAATTAATATTTAAATTTGAAATTGACACCAAGAGACTTTCTATTGAAATGAAGTTCTATTTGGCGCTCTACTATTTCATGGAAAAACATCTACAAAAAGTAATAAACAAAGAGCAATGGGTTATTTCAACGTTGTTAGATCCCCTTTATTCAACCAACACTTTCACTGGAGAGTTATTTGAAAAGAGCAAAACGATATTAAATAAATATATAAGTACCAATGAAAACACAACAACCCAAATCGTTGTTTCTGTTCCTCACACAACTGGTTTATTTCGACAACCTCATTATTCCGAGTTAGATTTATTTTTGAATAATAAAACTCTTTATAATTCAAGAGCTGTTACTGAACTTGGAAAGTGGTGGGTAGTTTATGGAAAACAAATGTATCCATAACTTTACGATGTGGCAATGAGATACATTTGTATTCCGGCAACAGAAACAACATGTGAAAGAGAGTTTTCGGAAATTAAGAGAATATTTACTGATGATCGAGTTAACCTATCGATTGATCCTTTTGTGTTCTGTTCATTTTTAAGGAAAAACGTTCAAATGATCAAAACTGTAACCACTTCCAAATCACAAAAATAAACAATATGAACTTATTTGTTTTTATGTTTTATGTTTTAAATAAAATGTTATTTAAAATATAAAAAACATTTATGTTTAGTTTGTTTCAAATTAAAAACTTGTTACCAAACAACTTTTTTTGCTTTAAGATAAATTAAATCAACAAAAGTAATTGCGATTACGTTTTATTTTGATTTTATTTTTGATTTGACCAAAAATGTATAACTTGAAAAAAGGTGCAGAATAAAACTGCTGGATCTAAAAGATCCACCGAGGTAAAATTTATACTTTTTTACCAAAATGAAAAATATCATGGTAAAATAATTTTACGTCAACCTTAATATCCATTCAAAACTTTTTTAAAAAATTTCCATTCAATTTTCAAAGACAATTCCTATTGCATTTTAATCGTTTGTGATTGACCTTCAAAGACTAATTTTCTGTATTATATTGGATAATAAAAATATTATAATAGCCTCGATTACAAAAAATGAAGAACACAAAAAATCAGATGAAATATTGTACTATCACATTCTCATAAACGTAGTCATCCCCTCCACAAGAGTCTGGGCAGACATAAATTGCAATAGTACCAAATTCGATATTAAGTTCGATGTCCAAATTAGTCGCATAAATAAATTGAGGAAGCAATTGCCATTCAAAAACGCATTCTTTGCCGCACCTCTTACATTTCGGTATCGTGAGTTGCGTGTCCGTCTTAATCCATACCGGTTTCCCTCCAAATTTATATCGGAGAACTTGTGATGGGGCTTTCCCAATTTTTTCATAAAACTTCAGAAGCACAGGATCGGTGGCTTCTTGTGGAATGTCACTCTCCTTTGTTCCACTTTCCTTTTCCATCTCTTTCGAAGTGTTGATCATCCTTTGAACTTCCTTGTCCTCTGGTTCTTTTAACTCGCTTTCCTCTTCCGTTTCTATTAAATATTCAGACGCTTTTTGCCGTTTAATAGCTCCTCCGCGGCCGTTCAACTTCCCTCGAACGTGGTCTGTCGGTCAGTGTATTCGTTATATAGTTTATTATTAATAAAATTATAATACCTTATTACTACTACTAATTATAATAAATGTATTAATAACAATAGTAATAACAAACGGTGGGGTCTTCCACACAGCAATTTGTGAGTATCGAAGTCATACAATTTGTGAACAACTCCACAGTAATAAGTGTCACATTTATCACATTTTGTAGTCGAAGGAAACCCACATATTTCACACATATTTCCTTTCACAATGCTCTCACAATAATCCTCATCATCATAGAGTGTCCCCATCCCAATTTGGTTTCGTAGAACCACAAATTTGAGGCAAAAAGGGCAGTGAAAGAGATATACCACGCGGTGGTATGCATATTCAAATTCGAGTGGAGCGTAGACCTGCACCATAAATAACATTTCTTTGTTACAATACGGGCACTTGTTTTTGTTCCCCACTTTGTCGCTTAACCAACACGCCACTCCTCCGCACCGATTCATCAAAGGATTAACCCTATCGTCTTCATGAAGTTCATCGAGAAATCCGCATACCACACCCTCCTCCATTAGTGTTATCTCTGTAATGAATTGAGATGAATAATTAGGGTTACACCATTGGGTTTCATACAAATAACAAGACTTTATTTCACCAACATAATTCACTTAAAATCAGCAAAGACTTCTTTGACTACAGCAACAACTCTCTCGTGGAGTTTCCCATTGGTCGCTATGATCCCATTGTTGCGCGCTAAGCTTCTTCCAACAGTGAAGTCTAAGTCTCTTCCAAAGATATCGGTGACATTTCCTCCAGCTTCTTTCACTATAAGATACCCAGCTGCATGATCCCATATCTTTTCTTGATACTTCGAGTCGCGGGGAAGTCTTAAATACACATCAGTTCTGCCAGAAGCTACAGTCATGTACTTGCATTGCGAATCTATTCTTAATGGTTCTTTATTAGTTTTCAATAGTTCACTGATCTTCTTCGACTTGGATTGGTCGGAGTGCGACGCCTCGACGGACTCACAGAAAACGATGTCTTCAGTTTTGTCGGTTGTAGTCGCGTGAATCTCTTTTGTTATCGAAAGGTCACTCACTTTGTATTCTCTTGCGCCGCAACCAATTTGTGCAGCGACAATAATACCACCCTCAAAGTTCGGGCATCCAAGAACTCCAATTTTGAGAACCCCATCAACCATGAAACCCAAACAGACCGCATACTGCTCACGTCGCAAAAATCCTAAAGTCCCATCAATCGGGTCTAATACCCAACAACGCCCTTTTCCACCTTCTGAAGCTCCCAAGTTGATCGACTTCTTAATCTCCTCATCAGTAAGACCAGTAACATGTTCTTTCACATGTTCCTTGACTTGTTCAAAGATTGCATCTGGTATTGCTTTTGTGTCTTCTTCTGCAACTATCTTATCATCTGGGAACGTTTTCGACAACTCATAGTTCACATAGGCTTGTACAGAGTAGTCACCAACAGTCACTGGAGACTTATCATTCTTAATCTGTGTCTGCGATTCTAAAGACTTTTTAGAAACACTTTGTGTGATGTTACACGAAGTTTGAACAATTTTCAGCGCTAAGTCGTACTCCTTTTGGAATGCCATACTATTGAGACTTTTGAGTTGAAAGTCTTTTTAAATAGTTAATATCTAATTATTTATAGAATAACTAATATGACTTAATTATATGGTTTTTATTATAGTAAATGAACCTTTGAAATTAGAAATATTAGTTTTTAGTTCGTTTATACAAATTCATTTGAACTGGAAAACTCTTGTAAACAAAAGTATTAGTAATAATAGTAGTTCAATTTATAAATTAATTATATTAAGAAATAAAAATTGTATTATAAAATAATTAAAATTTTACAATTAAAAATTTGCTTTACCTTTATATATAAGGTATGTAAAAACATGAACAATTATCATGTTTTTATATTATGTAATACATGCCGATAAAGAACTGCTTCTGTCTTTTTAACCGCTTCCACTTGATTTTATAGATTTTAATAATATTAATATAATAAAATGTATGGTACTGTTTTCCATGAAGGCTGAAATGCACCGTTGGGACTTTTTTGTCCCATGTGGTAATTTGTATTATACTTGTTATTATAATTATATTATTTTGAATTAATAAAACTAGAAGAAGTGGTTTTTATAACTTTGTAGTGGTAATACATAATTTTATTATTATTCTTTAATAATTATTTTCATTAAGTTATAACGTTGTTTATTCGACTCTATTTTTTTCTCATTTGAACGAAAATGAAATAATAATAAAAAATAAACACCATGTAAATAAATTTTATAAATAATTATGGTTATGACATTAAAAAACCACTACAAACACAAAGAATATATTTTAAATAATCTTTGTTTGTAGAGATTCATTATAATTAATTATAA